GTGGTGGACCGTTTAGCCCGCGTTGCGGTTAATTCATTGGAGGCAGCTTCGCGGATCGGGCTCCTGCGGGAGCCGGGCAGCCTGGACGGGCTTTTTGTCTGGCTGCTCCAGCCCCCTTTCCCTTCCTCCTCCTCCTCCCGATGCCGTTTCCCTGCCCCTCCTCGCCCGGTACAGACATTTGCAGCGCAGCCTGCGGCTCGTGGCTGCTGCTGTCGAAGCCGCTGCTCGGGATTTCGGCTCGTTTCCCGCTGGGGTGTTTTTTGAGGTGGGAGAGCGTTTCTCTCCCCTCCACGATGGGGTTTCCTTCCCGTGCCAGCATAGACTTTCATTGATTTCTACTTCAGCGTTTAGTGACCGATTCCTCTTAGGCGTATTTCTGTGGTGGTTCCTTTTTTTTTTCCCCCTCAAATACATGAGCTGTAAAATGGAGAACGAAATTTTTACTCCCCTTCTGGAGCAGTTCATGACCAGCCCTCTGGTCACTTGGGTAAGTGGGTGTTCTTCATTGTACCTTTCGCTGCATTCTCTGCGGCCGCAGAGATGGAGGTGGGCATTCGTGTCGTGATGATCCTTCTGTTGTAGGTGAAAACGTTTGGACCTCTGGCTGCAGGAAATGGGACCAACCTGGATGAATATGTGGCTTTGGTAGATGGGGTGTTCTTGAACCAGGTCATGCTCCACATGTAAGTGTTCTTTTTTTTTCTTTTTCTTGGTAACTTGTTTTTCTTTGAAAAATTACATGCTGTGAACTTTAGAGATGTTATGTTTTAAGCTTCTAATTTGATTCTTTGGCGAGGAAAAAAAAATAAGACATCTTAACAATTGGACCTTGAAAGAGGTGAAGATCTTACATGCCCAGCCTATTTATCACAACCCAGAGATTAAAATGATGAAACTTTAATTTTTCATTCCGTAAACCATGTATTGTCACTTGATTGTCTTCAGTGCTGAAATTCAAACCACATTGTGCCCCTCTGATAATTTGGTAAAATAAGAGAGAAAGAATAAGAATAGTTTCCTATGGGCGGGGGGCTACTTCTCCATGTACTAAGTCTTGGTATTTGGTAGCTATTGAATATCTACCAAATTGACTGAAAGCACAATGACCAATTGGGTAATGAAACAGTAAACCAGGCCAAAAAATAAAAATAATAATAAAAAAGGACTGATCTATAGTAGTGGTTGGGAAAATGTAAGAGACTGGGAGAGATTTCAGATACTAAGTAGATGAAACCAGTAGATGAAAACTTATTGGGTGCTGGTGATGGAGGAAGCAGAGTTGAAGCAGA